GTTGCGTTAAATATTTAACACCAAGTCATAAAATCTGTATCGTTCGTTCGATTCTCAAACGTGAGGTGTCAAATGATAGGGCTTGACCTGTAGATGTGCAATATAGTTTTCGTTGTTTAAAGGGTTGCCATATATACGAAAATCAAATTCAAATTATTTATTAAGTTAAATGAATTATCCCAATATGGGTATTAAAAGAAATGGTTTTGAATATACTGTATTTTTTAGCTACATGTAGGAGGGTTGCCACCTGTTTCAAAAGTCAAATTTAGTTAAATTATAAAAAAGTCTTATGCGTAAAGTACTATACAGTAAGCGCGAAAAGAAGGGGTTTAAAGAAACACAATAAAAATATTTTTGAGGTGCTTGAAGACGGTGACGACCTGTTTAAAAAGTTAACCCCAAATTATTGAAGCGAATTTTATTATTACAGCCCCGATATGTTTGCGATATATATTTAACGCCACAGTAAAGGTAGTATATGGCGGGTACAGAAAACGAATAGCTGCGTTAAACGCCAATTGGGCGGGGAAAGACTAATGCAAAGACAAGAATATAGACAAAAACAAAGATAAAGATAAAGAAAAGATGAAGATGAAGATGAAGACGAAGATGAAGATGAATATGAATATGAAGATGAAGTTGAAAATGAAGACGATGATGAAGATGAAGATGAAGATGACGATGAAGATGAATATAAAAATAAGCAGACTGTTATGATCGACCGGTAATTCTCGCAGGAGATTTCAATGTCAACTTTTCCCTGGCCGAATATCATGAACTGATAAAATTTTTCAAAGAAAAATTTTCATTGGAAATAGTTATGGGTAGAAATGTTCCAACAACAAAGGAGCGACTACCATTGATGCAGTTTTTCTAGAAATATTAATAATATTGGAATAAAACTTTTCATATCTTACTTTAGTTACCACAATCTACTAGTTAATATTGTAGATATGCATGTTTTCTCAGCCAAAAATAATAATTAAATTTAGCAATTTGTTATAAAAAATAAAAAATTAAAGCTCGTTAAAAAAATTTAAATATGTATTTAGTGTATTAGAAAATATGTACATGTGTATATATATCGCACATTTCTTTCTTTCTGCAATTCCTCGATTAAGTTTCACTTCTTCCGCGCGTAGGGACTACACGCACTGAGTTTTTTTTTTTTGTTAATGTCTTCATCTGTGAAGTGAGTTTGTGAAAAAACTAATCCAGCTACATAGAAAGCTTCGGTTTGTTACGTTGAAAAGAATCGTTAAAAGAGTAAAAATCGATTTTTCTAGATTCGCAGGTTCGTTTAAACTTTGCCTATCGCAAATGTAATTTTTTGGTTTCCCCAGGGAGAATTCAGAGTTTAATGACTTCTTTCGGCTTTTGTAGGATAATTTGGATGAAAAATCGTATCAAAATTTTAAATACATATTTTTAGCCTTTCTGTTTGAAACAAGAATTACGATCTGTATTTTTCGCGATATGCAACGTAACGTAGCAGCAAAGAAAAATGTTTGTTCAACTTAAAACATGAACAAAAACATCCGAAAAAGCTTGGCTCAGTTCCCATTTTCTACACAAAAATAAATCCTAAAACAAAGTCTCAATTTAGCTCATCCTAATCGAGACATCCTGAACTGATAGATGTTTTATGATTAATGGTTGCTAACTATTATGGAACTGCAATACGGATTCACGGTCATTACATCAATTCTAAACAGTACTATAGCAGGCTATACCTCTTTTGGAATCAAACCGCATTTTAATGGAATGATAGTAAGTGAGTTTACGTTTAAGAAACTGTTAAAGAATGGGATCAAACAACTGGTGGGCTCAAAGTGTGTTCACTCAGCTGTTAGCTTAGATGGCGGCCCACACTTATTTTAAAAAAAATGTTCCCTGCTTAACTATCTCAATTTGGCAATATAAACCGTATGCGTTTAAACAACGGTCCGAAAATCTGATGAAGTATTCGCCTCATCCTGGCAGTGACATAAGCTACTCTGCTCCCAAAGTCAACAAGCTTCAGCTTTGGTGAACAATTTAGCGATCGTCTTGTGGTCTGCGGGCCTTGAGCTTTGCATGACGGAGCACGGTCTGAAAATCGAGCTTCGTATGACCTTCGTGAGGGATCGAGCCTAGTCATAATCAGTCAAAGTATTCTTCCTGGCCGTTTTAGCTGCTGAAGCGTTTTGGCCGAGTTCAACAACAGGTATATGATATTTTACTCGGAAGCTAGACCTACCGCTCCCAATCTATAGCAGTTACTTATCTACTGTTCCAAGTTTTACAATATAAAAATAGCAATGTGGGTAATTGTTTTCTGCATATAGGCTCACAGTCCTAAAAGGGTTAAATCATACGATTAACTAGACACAATTCGACTTTCTGTAACATATATAAGTTAAAGAGAAATAGGCCCTTTGTGTTGATTTTCCCGCTTATCACTCCTAACAATACTTACTTTGCAGCCTCCCATAGAGCCTTGTAGTCGATGGCTTCGCCATTCTCTGACTTATCACGTGCTTTATTTTCATCTGTCGCGGAGTTCGAGCTGGAGGTGGTGGTACTGCCTAAACGTGAACGCGAAGCGGCACGTTCACCGCCACTCTGGAAGAATAAGAAGAAGAAAAGAAACAATTTTAAAATTAAAATTTAAGTCAAACACTGCGCTAATACAATTGCCTAACAATTGTGATAATTAATTTAAGAATATAATAATAGCAACAACAACTCTTAGGTGATCTTTTCTAACATACACACACACAACGTACTTCATAACCTTCACTCTTCTCCGAAGATGCGCTCAACGAACGTTGCGCTGCACTGCGTGAACGTGAACGATTACGCGACTTGCGTTCCTGTTCGCGCAAGGAATTACTACGTCCAACTAATGCCGCCATCGCCGCTACACTGCTACTATTAACAGCTGCCGCCATTGAACCACCGGATGCTGATGCGGTGCTGCCGCCGTAGGAGTTCAAATTGCTATTCGAATTGGAGATCGATTTAGTCTTCAGCAGACTTGGCGCTGAGCGTGCGCTGCTTGGCGTGCTTCTATACGATGAACTGGAGCTACCTTTGAAGGAGTTGGACTTGCCAGCACCGCTACCCATATTCAAGCTGAGCGAAGCCGTAGTCACGCCATTGTCGTAGCTAGTGTAGGGACTCATATAGCGATCGCTACTGTAGGGATTCGAAAGGTAACGCGATTCATAACCACTGGCCCCACCGCCTGCGCCACCACCGTTGGCTGTGGATTTCGAGGAGTTGTACAAAGAGGATTTATTATTATTGGTATATGCGGCAACTGTGCAAGCAGAGCAATGCATGCATGCTGCCAAAGATGAGGGAATACAATGAATGCATTTGCATTTTGAACGGCCAGCTGGCGATAGCGAAGTATGCCTAGAATTTATTTGCTGCGTATGCTTAGATGCTAGATGATGGTGATGAGAGCTGGTGGATATGGAGCAGGATGAAGGAGTGCTTTTATGGGTTGTGGATTTTTCGTATTGCTGGTGATGTGGATGTGAATGTGAATGTGAATGGTGATGATGATTTTCAACGCTAGAGCTAGCTTTTCGTGGCGTATAATTAGTGGATTTTGATGCTGATGCGGAGGACATAGCGTGAGTGGATGAGCTGATGGCAGCAGCTTTGGATGAATAAGCGGGTGCAGTAGTACTAGATGCGCACGTATATTCATAGCGGCCAATTACAATGACACCACCACCACCACCACCACCACCACTTCCAGCGCTTTTACCGTTCGAATAGTAGGAACTGCCACCACCACTACCACCACCGGCTGCGCGACTTCCGGCCGTGCTGTAGAGATTGTCACGCGAACCATAAATGCTCGCATACGGGCTCTGATAGTAGGAGGAAGACGATGCCGCCGAAGACGACGATGTGCCAGCGCCAACGCCATTCTGATAGTAACCGGTGCTCAAAGGACGCGAACTGGAGCTATATCCATTTGGGTGATTGCTATTGTAATTGCTGCCATTGTAGTTGTAGGCACTGCCGCTGCCGCCCACACCCGAAGCAGAGGTGGCACGCGAACTGGAGAGCGAACGACGATGCGAAGAGCCAGCTAGCGGCTGGGAGGCGCGTGAACGTGAACGAAAAGACATTACAGCGAACCTGCGAAGGCTTTTTGTGTGCGCGCAGAGTTAAAAAGGTCGTTGGCTGGCTGGCGCAATAAAAATACCACAAAACGATTTTCAGCTGTTACGAGTTAGTACTATTTTGGAAATATTCTATAAGAACGCCGAATTATTGCGGTCTACACAAATTGGCATGAATCCACGGAACAATTTTGTTTTTTTCCACAGCGCAATTAACTAGGATGCGCTCAGTTGCGAAAGAATTACGTCAAATCTTAAGAAAAAAAATTTTAAATTAAACATTTTATTTTGAAATTGCATATTGCACTTTGTACAATTTGCGCACACAACGCAACGCAGCACAACCATAATATTTAAATTGGGCGTTTAAGAATGCAAATCTGTTTATTTTTTGCATATTTGTTTATGCAGATTTTAAATATTGCAGCCCAAAATTTTAATAACGGCAAATGACGGCACGCGGCAACAGATGGAAATAAATGAATACAAAGTACGAGTATATAACAGTTCTAGTTAGCTAGGCTTCCCTAATTAAATTACTTTTACCGTGAAAAGTTTTCTCCAAAAATGTTAAAATGTTAAGCTCTCGCCCCTAGGATTTTTCTAAATGGAAAAATACCCAATTTTTTATTTTTTTTTAATTATATTTAGAACTGCCTCAAAGCCCATGAAGTTTTCCATGTATTTTATATGGGGAAAAAACAATTTATCGAGGAAATGGTATAGAATTATTGAAAATGAATAGTTTCCGATCTGAGAGCTCTGTTTCTTACCAGGAGACTTCTAATAATTATACCCAATTGTTTATTTACCAGTTTTTTAATATGAACTATTTTTTATAGGTCCCCCAAAACCACAAATAACGCTTTTGATTTTAAAATAAAAAGCAGAGGTATATTTTTCCGCTATAGAACAATCCTAAGGGACGAGAGCATTTTTCGTGTTTTGTTTTTACCACCCTAATGTACATAAATACATTTGGAAGATTGTCTGCCACGAAGCGATCGCTATTAGAAATTATTTTTCTGGATGTTGCACTGACTTGAGCAAGCTCCAGGGCTCAACCTTGTCGTAATCCGGCCTTCTAACCATATGGCTACACCTGTCATTGATCCCGGGCAAAGGCGATTGTACGTATTATAAAGTAAAGCTATTGATAACATTTTCCTCCAAACAAGTTTTTTTTCATATACTGAATTTAAGAGTTAAGACTCAAGAATTGAGGTCTTCTTTCATCTAAGTATTGTAAAGGAACGTCGCGAACTAGTTTGCCTGAATGCCATTAGATTTGGTGACCCTAGGAAGCGAAAGCCGGGCCTAGCAAGTGCTTCATAGTGGTACATAATTCGTCATGCTATTTCTTGAATTTGGTCTTCTTTGTTGATATTTTCAGGATAAGGCTAAGTCAGCCTTTCTGTTAGGTTCTGTACTTGTCCAATTTGCGCTTTCTTCTCCATCCAAATACAGTAATTTCACCTAAGGTTCCTCGGCTTAGGAAACCCTGTGCAGGCTTTTCTATGGCGTGAATATTTGCCAATTCATTCCCAACTGTGTTCCGGTACCCAAATGAGGTAAACCCGATTGTGAAGGCCAGACCTAACAACAGCATGCCTGAAAGGCAGAGCGAACTCGCCCCATGGTAGCAAAAAGGAGCCCTCTGAGTTGTATGCCATATACTTCTGCTCTTCTTTTTGAAGACGTCCACAAAGCTGCTGTATAGTCCTTGCTGCTCCCTTGTGGGAGCTCTTCGCAGTATGGAAGAAATTCACCGGGGTTAAATATCCCTACATATGGCTCGTTTGTGTAGGATAGTTGGAACTATACATTTTTTTAGTTTTTTTTTGGGGATCTCTCGGCAGGTCGTCCAATTTGATATGAATTAAGAGGGGTTCCTGCTTTAAGCATCCTAGACTGAACCCTTTTTTTTTTAGTGATTTTTATTTTGTGCTTAGGCTTCTACTTCAGTTAACCTTGGAAGAGCAACGTTTGAATACTTAGACGAAATCAAAAAAAGATGGAATTACTCTCGGTAATGTACTAAGTTGGAATTATCATCTAGACAAAACTCTCAGTGAAACCATGCGAGTCACGTGGACCTGTAAAAAACGTTTTTGGTCCGAAAAGGGACGTGAACTCTTAATGTCCTTTCCTTTCTCTTCCACTGCAGAAGATAATCTTTTTCGGTAGAAAAGAAAACGCCATAGAATTGCTTTTATTTCATATTTATCTTTTCAGTCATTCGATCTGGATTGGAAAACAAACACATTCACATTTACCTGAGAGACAAACTCTTAACACAGTTGTTTTAAAGCATTTTTGGCAGGATAGAAGTTAGAAAAGGTCTTTTTCAAAAAACGATGAACGTGTGAATGGCATCTGCCGGATACCAGAATAGGCATAAATGTATTTCCGGAGCCCAGATCTAGCCAAGCATTGCCCAATAAGTTCTAGCACAGACACAGTAATTATGCATCAAGGGAATTTATTTAGAGCCAATACACTAAATCAGAATTACTGATTAACCGAAAATTAAACCTTATACCAGAATGCAATCGAGTTGTAACGAAGCGAAGTAAAATTTTTTACGATGTATGGAGCTCAATCATAAAAATACTATTCCACTATGTTGTTTTTTCTGACAGCAAGAAGTCTAATAGCACAGAAAATCTCTTCCTTATAGCATGCGGTAACACTATTTCTGAGCCACCATATTTAATGTGATGAACTAACATTTTACGAAAAATACAATTTTGTATACTCTATTAAAACATTTCACTATTTCTATTTTAGTTTAAAGAAGAAAAATGGATGAAATAAAACCGAACAAGTAACAAAAAATAAGATTAATGATAGATAATAAATGGACAACAACTAAGCTGGCAAACGAAACAAATTTCCAAACAACCGTGAAAAAGCGCCGAGGATCACCCGGTCACAACTGACGTCAGAAAAGAGATATCCATCACAATAAAGCAAATAAATAAAATAAAACAAAACTTAAATCGCACATTTGTTGAGAAAATTGCGTTGTTGCTTCCGATTTTGAAAGACCACACACACACACCCCCACCCCCACATACATATGTACATGCAAGAGCACAAGAGCTCACTGTGACCAGGAAACAAAAAGAAGAAATAAGCAGATAGCGCAAGTGTTAAAGAGAAAATGCTTTCTTTGAAATAATAAAAGCAGATAAGAAAGTCATTTTGCTTTATTCCATTAGCCGCAGCGGCTGGCAGCTGAATCACCCACGCAGTGTTAAGTAAATTTTTTGAAAACTAAAAATACGCAACACAGATGAGGAAGAAAATGCGCGAGGAAAAAAAGTGTGTGATTGCATGAGTATAATTATACGCATGCATGCTGCTATAAAGTTCAAGTGTTGAGCCTTAAATTTAGCCGGAAGGGTGGCTGGTATAGTTAGTACATACAATGTAGGTGCAACTTTTATTTTGAAAGAACACATGTAGATAGCATCGACAAAAAATGTTGGATAGAAAAAAAAAACGTATGACATTGAAATCAAATGGATTAGATTGATATTGATAACTGATTGTTGATAGATAGACGCGCAAGACCGTTTGCTAATGCCGATTTCGTTTCTACCGAAAAATGCAACCTTCTCTTTGGCCTCTACGCACAAACACTAAGCAGAAAGCGATGAGAAGGCAACATTTTTTGTAGAAACGAAATCGCCATAAGAAAATTAAAAAAAAAGTCAATGCGTTTTTATAAATTGCACTTGTTATAGAAAAAAATCGCAAAAGCCGCCACCAAAAAAAAATATATATTTATTAAAAATCAACGCGATTTTGCAGTCTCTTAAGACTTGCTTTTCATTATACTAAAACTATTATATTTACAAAACTGGATACCCAAAAAAATTCTAAAAAAATCCAAATTAAAGCTCAAAATTTTAATGAAAATTTGGTAAATTTCTCTAAGCTCTGTATAAAGTTTGAAAGTTTCATTTATGTATATTAGGGCTGTGCGATTATTCGATTACTCGAGCAAGTTGGATAATCAATTATTTGGTTAATCAATTACTCGAGTAATCAAGATTTCGATTACTCAAAACGATGATTAATCGAGTTACTTGAAATATGATTACTCAAAAAAAAAAATTATTTTGCTCGTTAATAGAGTTTGCTTTGGAAAATCCTTATTTTCTTTTTTTACATTCTGTATATGAAAAAAATTTTTTGTTTTAATTTTTGAAAACAGAAACGTTGTTTTCAAAGTATCAAGGAACTTTAACTACTTTATACATACATATGTAAAGAGTTGAAATGTTGATTACTCATTTTACTCGAAATGTTGATTAATCATAAAGCATTTTACTCAAATATTTTTGTTTTTGGCTAATCAAAAATCTTGATTACTAGGCTATTTTACTGAACTTTTGAGTAATCATAATTTCTTATTAATCGAATAATTGAGTTATTTACTTTATGATTAATTAAAATTTTGAGTAATCAATTAATCGCACAGCCCTAATGTATATGGTTTTGGTTAAAGCATGAACCTTTTTTTTTTTTGAAAAAATAACAAAAAAAAATTTAAATTTGAAAACCTTGCAAGTATTTAACAAAAAATCACCGCTTTATTTTACAACTGACTATTGTGAAAAACATTTTACGTTTTCTGAAGTACATTTGACGCTTTCTGAAGTACTATTGGAAAAGGTGTAGCGTAAGGTCGATTAAAGGGCAAGAGTTGACGAAGGTGTTGTTTGATTCTCGACTATAATGGTCTATATTTGTAATCAGACTGACTATTCAGCGCATCGTGTATTCTCATTCCCCAAGACAGTCGGTTTTACATGTTGGAGTTTTAAGGCGGATTCACCGTACGTGTCCGGACAACTTTTTATTTGCTCGGTTTTGCCGGAGAAAGTGCTGAAGTACGGTTCACCGTTCAGTTCGGCACATTCTATTTTGTTGTGAAGCAAGCAGCTGATGATATTGTTGCCTACAAACGATTTTTAGGGCAAATAATACATGCAATTCTTTGAAAACGCATAAAAAGGAAAACGCGGCAACCCGAATCATCAAGTCGTACGGACAGAAAATCAAAATCAATTTGATCCGAACAAAGAATGTTCGCCTTTACTGTTTTACTTTTAATCTAAGATACTTCGAACTGATTTTGCCTTATTGATTTTTAAATTAAAGCTATACCTATTTCTAGCTGTCATATTGTAATTGCGTT